TTTTTAGGGTGGGTCGGCCGGGGGGGTGGGGGGACCGACGGCCTGCCAGTCTGCTGCTACAGAGGGTCAGGAGGAGACGGACACACAACAACTGTGTGTGTGTGTGTGTGTGTGTGTGTGTGTTACAGACTGCCTCACTCACACACACACAGTCAGATGAAGGGGGAGATCACAGTAACTTCTGTTAGTTTTATCAGACAAAGCTTTCATTGGACATCTGGGCTCCATTTGCCGCCGAGCCTCATCGCAGCGGACGCGTTAGCGAGAAGCCGACTAATTAGGGAACATCACACAGACAAAAAACAATATGTATAATTTAAGGCTGTTTGTGCACAATAAGCTGCTCCTAATTGAAGTGGGGGGGACGTCGTGGGACCACAGCCGTGTGCTGCCACGGCAACAGCAGCCAAAAAAAAAAAAAAGAAGCTGAACGCGGCGGCCGCGTGTCGACGCACGAGGAGTCGTATCTTTGTATCTGGAGCGTCGTAAACAGAACAGAACCATCAACCTGAGTCGGTCGGATTAGCTCGTAGTCCGACATGGACACAAGTACTGCAGTTTTCAGGTAGAACTGAAGGAACCTAAACATCGCCCCCTGTTGGAAGTGTTATGATGATGCAGGTCATAAAACTTGGAAACAAATAAAGCAAGAAAAATGACCAAAAAAATGCTAAAGGCTAAAGCTAATGTTCTGGAGTTGAGGAAGAAAGACAAAGACATGGGAAATATATAATCAAATGTTAATATAATGACTAATGATAATCTCATTAACCTAATTAGTTGATGAACATCATGACGACAGTCCAGAGTCAAACATCACCTAAATATTAGACCACAACTTTTTTTTTTTTAAATATTCCAGACCAGGATCTTCACAGTGACACGTTATGATGGAACACATTTTTGTTCTTCTTATAAACGACTGCTCTGTTGTTGCAGTTTCAACACGTTGTTGCCGTTAGCAACGCCATGGCAGCGTCACACTGACTCACGTGCACAATAGTGTTCAGAACTAAGTTCACGCTGTCACGTCATGTTCGTGTAAGGATTAGGGTTAGGAATATATTTGTCATGTTCAAAGTACAGGGCTGTAGAGGGCGCTGTGGTAACGTAAAGAATTAAAGGTGGACTGGAGTCAAACTGTGGATTAAGATCAGAGTCGTACCGTGGAGGTCACAGGGTTCACAGGAAGAGCTGAGGAGAAACAGACAAACAGTGTGTGTGTGTGTGTGCGTGTGGACGGACGTTTACACGCATACATGTTTTGAGGTCCTATTCTGTCGTTAAAGCTTCATTTTAATGTGAAAATAACTTTGGTCGTTGAAAACACTGTAAACCATCATAGAGTGAAACACGGCAGCGTTGCCACAGAAGTTTCTCCTGCACATATTTTAATGAGGTTTCACTCACTTCAACTTTACGGCCAGTAAAAAACAACAACAACCTCAACGCTGACGGCGCATATAGGCAGAAACGCCGCGGTGTTGTTGCCTGTTCGCCTTCAGACGGCGGCGGTGCGCACAGCTCCACCACCTGGACACTACATCACGGCCACCAACATTTAATTACGAGCAACTTTGCAACCGATGCACAATCGGAAGTGAAATATTAGCAGCAGCTGGACGAGGAGCGACGTGGCTAACGTTCTGCTGACTCGGGCCGACGGTTGTTGTGTTGGTTTTTTATCGTCTTGTAACATTTTATGAAGGGGTTTTTTGTGTGTTTTTGAGTGTTCAGCTGTTCTCCACTCCACACTGTTTTTTTTTATTAGGCTTTCGAATTAACGTTTGCCTAACGATGATTACCAATAATCAGCAGCTCAGTGGAACTGAAGCCATACTTCAGCCTGAGGTGATAAAAGTTCAAGATAAAAGTCTTTGTTTTTCTTCTTCTGTGATGAAGCTTCAGTCTTGAGCCTCATGTTCTGATTGAAAATCTAACGGTTTTTTTTTCATTGTTTTTTTTTTCTTTGTTATTGAAGTGAACGGCCTCCGTCTCCTGCTACGCCCACCTACATGTGGAGTCACGTGGCGTTCCGGGCTGAACAAAGTGTGGGCGCCCACCTTATTCTATACTTATCGGCGCCCACACAAACAGCTGCGCCCATGCTGCCTATGAGCATTGTGGGTAAATAGCGATAAAACATTTCCCAATGTGGCATTAAAGAGCAAGCTTTTCAGAAATCTGCTCCGTTAGACTTTAACGCTCGGCTCGTAAAATCTATTTCCACATCTCTCTGGGCCGTGTCGAAATTACCCGGCTCTTTATTTGACTCTGTTTGTTTTATACGTGTGAATATTGTGTTGTTTGGTGGTTTATGGGCCGCTCGCCTGCCAAGGTTGTTTATCAGTGTATTCTTTCGACCCGACCTGGAGCGTGTGTGTGTGTGTGTGTGTGTTTGTTCCAGAGTGGCAGTAACGAGGAAGTTGTGTCCACGCCGATGTACGTCTCCTATACGTCTTTACCCTCATTATTCTGCCTTTTATGGATTTTTACTTTCCATGGTTTTATGTCGGCCTTTATTCAACACTGCGGTTCCAGGCTTAGGTCAAATATACCGCTTGGCTCCGCTCCTCAAACCCTGAAAGTCAAAAATTGTTCCTTCGGATTACCATACATCAAAATAAATTCGGCCGGCGCCCGCCGCACGAGGCCTTGATCGCAGAAGAGAACTCTTTTATCCTCAGCTCTCACACGTTTGGCCACGTCTCTGGGCCTGCAGTCGGTCCGCACAAGTTGGAAAGGGAGGTTCGGGGGGGGGAGGGGGGACTTCCTGCAGTCTCTCTAGGCTCCGCCCACATTCTCAGGCGGGAGGACACTTTCATTTGTTTGTCTTCGTGTGCCGGGATTGGACGTCGTCGTTTTTCTGTTTGACTGTCGTTCCAGCGACTGAGGGTCACCACCTGACCTGAGCAGTGTGTGTGTGAGTGAGTGAGAGAGAGAGAGAGAGAGAGAGAGAGAGAGTCAGTACAGCTCTATGAAATACTGTAACATAACACAAAGTACACATTTCATCGTCAGAAATTGTTGTTGTTACAGCTGCTCCTGACAGACATGTACGAAATATGATTTTAAATATATATATTTATATATTCATATATTTATATATATATATATATATATATATATAGAAAGTAACTATGAAATTTAAGATTTTCATTCATAAAATTAGACAGAATCTAACATTTCACAGCAAATGAAAATAACACAAAAATATAATAATGTAATATTACAAAGGTTCAATTACCAGAACCAGAATACTGCACAGTTCTATTAGAAGAGATGTAACCCAGTACTGCAGTACTCAGTACCCTGCAGTACTCTTCTAAATACTTTAGTAAAAACCTGACGATCAGTCGTTGATGAGGCTCCGCTGCATTTTCTTTCTTTTTATTTATTTATTTATTTTTTGGATGTGTACTATGTTTGGACCTGCTCCTCGTCAGCCGTACTTTAATGCTAATGCTAATGCTAACAGTCTGTCCTGGACCTCAGTTGGTTTATATGAACGGTGTTTATATTCTGACCGTCTGGTCGTTTGTGGACTGGTGTTGTGTGTCTTCAGCTGCAGGTGGCGCTGAGATGACAGATTACCGTGTGTTCTGGGATTAGACGAGGGGACAGTGGTGGCTGTTGTTGTTGTTGTTGTTGTGGTTGTTGTTGTAGTTGTTGTCGAGCTGCCGTTGCCTTTCCCAGCTCTCCTCTCTCCTGACACTGTGCCCCTGGCCTCCTCA